TTTTTTTTTTTTTTTTTTTTTTATTTTTTTTTTTATTATATAGTTTTATAGCTGCTGAACCCTAATTATTCTAATACGTATACCTCGAATAGAGTTTCGACCTTCTTTTCTCATTTTCTCCTACGCCGAGGGTGCATACAGGACTGATAACTTTCGAGTCAAAGCATGGGTGTCTTGAAATACTAGAAATCTGTTGATTCTACACAGTGTCCTGTTTTCTAAAGCGAAAAAAGAAGGTAGATCTTAAACTGATTTTTAATGCTTGACATCTGAAAAAAGATCTATATAAATGGATTTATATCTGTGTTTTGAAAATACCCGAATAATCTTTAAGTGCGAATTTAAAGTCAAAAATTGAGAAAAACCCCAATGTTACAAAGGAACACAACAACGTCGAACTTTAGTTTTATTAATCCTAGAACAGCCAGGTCTCAAAAAATCTACAAAATAGAGTCATAACAATTGGAAAGTCGATACAAGGGTTTCACAATTTAGTAGAACCTCTATAAATATGAAAGATCCATATACGTCACAAAATCGAATGTACTAACTAGCGACAGACAAGAAGATGTGTGCTAATTCATTCGACACCAAAATTTAGTCCATTGCTCTGATGAAAAACTCTCATGAAATGATTGCGTATCGAAATAAATTGGATCGAGGAAAAAAGTGTTTTTCTACGAAATTATTTGGAGATGTTAGAAGTATTGAAATTTAAAACGATTGTACTTGATTATTGAACATGATGCCATACATTCCTTCATCCATGAATGACATACCATTATCACAAAAGTCGATGAAATAATAAAATTTTTGATTGGGTGTAAGAAAGGTTGCCGTCGCATGATTCCAGAAATTTGGGTGCTTGTTCTGCAGCTTATCAGCGCTTGGTCCAGGGTGCACATTCGAGTCGGTAGCCGTTGAAAAATCGGCGGTCGCTTGGATCGGCGACCTTTTATTGTAGTTGTCAATTTATTGTTTCTCCTCCCTTATCTTTTGATTTTCAATTAGAAATTTTCATAAGCTACGATCACTGATAAAGCTTTGCAAAACGCGCAAGTCCGGACACTACACGCATCTAAAATCCGATAGTAATTGATATCAATTCAAATTCAACTCCGACGACGAAACTCAGAAAGCCTTTTGTCTTATTATGAAAAGAAAAGAAAAATAGATAAATAAGTGTAAATTATTTTATGATATTGTCAATAAAGAGAAGTTCATCTTTAATTTACATTGAAAGCATGCATGTTTGTTCAGGCCAGAACTTCAGCCACATAAACATGAGCCAACTTGGCCGTAAGCTTTTGTGGGAAAGCACTGAGGGCAATTCAATACCACCAACATAAGCCAGACAAGCAAATTAATTTAGGCATAAAGCTGACCTTATTTCTGAACAAAGTCTCAGGGTTTCTTGCTCAGATAGTAGATGTCAACACAACTATAGCTGCTTCAAGAAGCCGCAATTTGAACAATGGCTTTGTGACAAATACAGCCCTCTTTTTGATTTATGATAGCTCAAAATATCAAAAGATCTTTTTAAGGAAGCACCATGTTTCAGAATTGTTCGATACTTAGCCAAGAATGGCAAAAGTGACGGACGTAGGAGCGAAAACGTAGAGGATGTCTAACTAAATGGCTTAAACAATAACAAAATACAAATTCCAGAAAAAAATCCCTTTCCCGTTTTGATAGATGAATGAACACATACGGTTTATTCAATTTTAGAAACAGATAATAGATGGATCGTCAGAACTTCAATTATAAATTGCGTAAAAGTCCCCTTTCAACAATCGAGAGAGAGAAAGAGAGAGTACGATCATTCTCGTGATTGTAGTAGGAAAATGACCTAATTATCAGTTATTCAAGAGTAAAAAGTGAAGAATCTCTACACAGTTACAAAATTTCCCTTGATACCGAGTAATGGCCAGCTACTTCCACCTCCGATAAATGATTAACAGTAACGGCTTGGCAATTTCTTTTTTTTTTTCATTCATTTATCTGATTAAAAAAGCAAAACTATACAATATATATAAGAAGACTTTAAAACAGCTCCCAGCCACGTACAAAGTGTCGAAACTTGGTAGATATATCTGATTAAACGAACGCAACTATACAATAGAAATATATATCAACCATTAAATAGCTCCTATATACGTGACAAAACCCGGCTACGGCCTTTGTACTAAGCTTTATTTACATCAGTCCTCAAAAATCTATAAGATTATAATTTTAAAATCAGACGAAGATCACTTATACGTCCTTCCAATATTAGAATTTAAAACCTTATGATATGTTAAAATAGAGGGGAGCAACTTCAACAAAACAGGTTCCATGGTCTAGATGGTTATGACATTCGCCTCACACGCGAGAGGTCTCGAGTTCGATCCTCGATGGAATCAGTTATTTTTTAGTTTTCAAAGCTCAATTACTTGAAGCTTCTTTTACCCAAACCTTTTGCAAGAGCGTCAAAATTGATATTTATGCGATTGTCACGATAGTTGTGTTTCTTTGATAATATGGATCTACCGAAAATAATAGCATGCAAATACACCATGATTCATTACCGTCTACTTCTCTTCATCTGAGTCGTCTTCCAAGTCCAAGTCGGGAATCTCAATCTCAGAACCGCCGTCAGACTCCATTTCGTCGTCGACATTTTCAGAGACCTTTGCAGCGCTTTCGTTACTCTCTGTTTCCGCTTCTGTCTTCGTATCCTGAGTCTCTGTCTTGACTTCCATGGTGTCGGTTTTATTCACCTCCAATGACTTGAATGGCTTTGGGGTGAAGATATCTGCTGCAGGGTACTCGGCTGCTTTTTGATCTTCAAGCTTCTTTTCCGTCGACGCCTTCTCTTTGCTGGCGGCAGGTCCAGCTTTGAACCTCTTCGCCAGAGGCTCAGATTCTTGCACTGCGGGGGGAATTTCGTCATCTTCTTCGTCTTCTTCGTCCTCATTCTCAATTGAATTCTTGACTAAGACCGGCAAGGGAGGAAATCTGGGATAGTTCAAAACACCAAGCGTATCGGACTGGGGCAAGATGGCAGTGGCGATGGGGAAAATGGATGCGGACTCGGGGGCTGGGTGCAACAGCGAGGCAATGAGCACATTTTCCAATTCCGGAGACACGTAGTGGTGGTGAGACGAGTCTGCCTGTTTCACGGCCTCGACAATGGCGAACTTGAGGATCTTGTTGTAATGGGTCGACGAGATAGGCACTCTTCTGATGACACAGGCAAAGAAGTCGAGCACCGTTTTGCTGGTGGTTTCCGGCACTGTCTGCCTGAAGAGATGCTCGTGGGAGATGAGGTCGGACAAAGGCACGGCGGCATTCCGCTTGGTCTTTTTGCGTGCCGATTTGGACTGGTTAGACAACTTGACCTTCCCCCCGTCGCCTGCGAGCTGCTGGCCCCCGGCACGCGGCTGCACCAAGAAGACGGCGGCCTCGAGAATCCTCGAAATTAGCGAGTGGTCGGCAAAAAAGCTGGTGAGGCCCAAGAAGCTGGAGGTGCACTGGATCACCTCGCAGATCATGGGCTCATTGGCCAAGATGCGGGCGTGGTCCAACCGCTTGTTCTGGAGAAACACCAACAGCTCCAACGTGGCAAGCACGGCCAGCATGTGGGGCACGAGCAGTGCGCAGAATGTGGCGGGCAATTGCTGCAAGAGGCCCAACGCAGAAAAGTGGCACTGGGTCAACGAGATGTCGACGTACTGCTTGACGTCGGCGTCGCGGATCTCGCGCTTGAACGAGACAAACCGCGTGTTGAGCGAACACACGAGGTCCACCACCGAAAGCACCCGTCCAATGGGCACCACCACGGGGAACTTGGTGCCTGAGAGCAAGTAGCCCTGCAAAAGCTCGAAGAGCACGCCCACCCTCTGCGAAATGGCGAAAATCGAGGAGGGCTCGTTGATGTCGATGCTCAACAGCGGGAAGAGACTCTCATGGTCCGTGGACCCGAGGCTCTTCAAAAGAGTGGATGCTTCCTGGTCGTCCTGGACGTTGAGGAAACTGGCGTAGATCTCCACGGTGCTGGTGAGCTCGGAGATAAGCGCGTGCACGTCGCGGAGCCAGTGCTGCTCAGGGGCGTCTTTTTCAATCACCGGCAAGCATGCCAAGGTCTGGCACGCCGTGGCCCGTAGTTTCTGCGGATAGCTCAAGAACTGGGCCTCCATGACAAAGGTCAAGATGTGGGTTTTGAGCTTGTTGGCAAACGGCCGCGAGGTGGTGGGATGCTCCTGGATGAGCTTCTTTAGCGAGCCCAACACCAAGTACGGGCTGAGGGCCAACTTGTCCAAAAGCACCGTGAACACACTGCTCAAGTTCGGGGTCAAGATTTCTCGGGTGAGCGTGGGCTTGCCGCGGATGCTATCGCAGAGCCTGGCCAAACACTCGATGGCAGACTCAAGCACCGCCTTGTTTTGCGCATGTTGCGATCCGAGCACTTTCAAAAGCTGCCCGAAAAACGCAGACCCTTCTGCGCTCACGATCTCGGAACTGTCGGCCAAAACGTAGATGATGTTGATGCCGCACCACACGCTGTAGGGGTCATTGGACCGGCATAGATTGAGGGTTCTGCTGGTTAAGTGCTTGAGGTCGACTTTCGACACGCTGGCAAAAGTGGACTTGGCTTTATCAAGCGCAGAGAGAATCGGAATCACCGAAGCTGGTGTCGATTTGAGCTGGTCGATGACCACGGCCAAGGGAAGAGACATGAGGATGTGTATATAGGTTTCGAGGAAGCCTTTATACACCACACTAGTTGAAATGTATTTCTGCGAGACTTCTTGCTGTGTTCAATCGGTGGCCGCTCTGAAATTTTCTGTTTTGCAAGCGATGCGATATTGTTGCGATACAGGTGCGATGCCCTTGGCGCGCACGGTCAACACCGGGCATTTGGCCATGACACGCACGGCCAGTAAACATTTTGGAGTCTATTGATTAGCTCTAGTTACATATTTGCAGTCCATGATTGGCGCCCTGGTCGAAATGCGGCTAGGCTGGAGGTGCCGGGATGTGCACCCTTGAATAAAGGCAGCCCTCTTCAGAAGACGTCGCCCAAAAGGTTGTGGAACCCAAACGGCTCGTACAATGTGCCCTCACCTTCGAAGAACTTGGACATGGACTCGACCCAGTGCAACCTCAATGAATGCAACATGGCGGACGTGCCCTCCATGACGACCAAAATCACCACGGTCAACACTAACCACATTGCAAAAAGACACACGGTCATGAAGACTCCAACCACGCCGGTCATACCGAACGCGTTACTGATCGTCATCGTCCACAAGACAGTCGACAACTGCGCGTGTGCCAACGACAAAGCCCATAATCTCAAGTAAGAGGCGGTGTGCGACACGCAGTTCAAGCAGAACTCGATCGTGTGGATGACCTGATGGATCATGATGTCACCGAAATTGTGAGCCTCGTGCTCTTCGTCTTCGTCATGATGTTCTGGCTCAAGTTCGGCCGCGCTCTCCTCGTCGCCAAGAGCCTGATACTGGTGTTGTTTGGCCTCTTTGTCCATTTGGCGCTTCAAGTAAAGGGGCTTCACGAGAACCAACCATGGAATGCAGATCAACGCCACGGCCAAAAGGACCAACTGCACAGTCGCCTGGCCTTCGTACAAAGGCTCTACGACGGTGCCCGGAGACAAGAACATGGTGATCAACATGTTCAACAATCCGGGGGGCTGTTTCTGGATGGCGAACCAGTTGACCGTCCACTTGTACACAATACAAAGAGACAAGTAGCCGAAGATTCCCTGCATGAACAACAAGCCTGGGATGAAGTTGCCCACAATGTCAATGCCGCTCTTGAAGTAGAGTGCGTTGACCAAGGAGAAGAAGTACGAGTAGGTCATGTGCATGTAGCCCATCAATACGGACAACTTCATTTTGTAGGAGTTGGAGAACAACAATGCGTTTTCAGAGCCGTGCCAGGCCGGGTCCAAGCCGACAGCATACACACCGACTTGCGTGGCATGGATGGTTTCACCGACCTGGAAGTTGTCGGGCCATTTCCAGCCCGAGGGGAAGAAGTCCATGGACTTCGAGAAAAGATCGTTGTACAAGAAGCCGGTGTACATCGAGAAGATGCCCATGAGCAACAAGATGTAGCGGCCCGAGAACGCCATGTCGAAGATTTCGTCCCGCTTCATGGCCAAGATGGTTTTCTCATAGTATACCATGACGGCCGCAGCCATGAACAAGATGAGCCCGTGGCCCAAGTCACCGAACATCACGGCAAATAGAAAGGGAAAGGTGATGATAGTGGCCAAGCCCGGGTTCACCTCGCGGTACGTGGCAATGCCGTACGTGTCACAGATGCTCTGGAACCCCGCAGTGAACTTGTTGGTGCGGTGGAACGTGGGCGGGGTCTTGGTGGTTTCCAAGACGTTGACGATGGTTGGCACCGACGCGTTCGCAGAGAGCACGGCCGCGGTCAAAGTGTCGATTTCGTCGGTGGGCACCCAGCCCTCGCCGATCAACGAGCGCCGCGAGTTGTCGTAGTCGCAAAGATTCATGGTCTTGTACACGGCCTTCTCGCGCGCAATGATCTCCCACCAGCGGCCCAAGTCCCTGGAAATGGCCACCAACTCGGAGCTCAACGCACGCTCGGTCTGCTCCAAAACCGTGCCCACGTCAGCCAACTTCACGCCCACGGCCGCCAACTGCTCGTCGCGCAAGCGCGCAGACGTGTCCACGTCGTACAAGTCGGCCTCCAAGGAACGCGCGATTTTCTGGATCCGGTCGCGGATCATGGACCCGTGGGAGAAGATGAGAAACGCGTTTTTGTCCACGTAAGAGTTGGACTTGGCGTCGTAGACCGGCTCCGCCAACTCCTCCGTGTAGTAGTACAAGTTGCCCCGCAAAATGCGCCACAAGATCTGCTGCAAGGGGGCCACCTTGTGCCGGTCAATGACGCCGCAGATGAAACTGGCCTGGAACTCCAGCACCCCGCCGGCCTCCAAATGCGCGAGCGGCTCGTCGTCGTGCTGCGCCGCCGGCGCGGCGTTGGCCAAGAAAAAGTTCTGCACCGCCTGTATGGCCAGCTGCAACTGCTTCAAGTCCCTCTGTTTGTCGTACAAAGTCTCTGCGGAGCTCGCAAGGTCCCGTGTGCGGGCCTCCAAAAGCGACGCGTTCTGGGAAAAAACGTCGATTTCCGCTTGCGGACACACCGACGTGTCGTCGTAAGGGTACAATTTGGTTTCGATCCCCTTCTTGTCGAGCTCGGCCTTGAAGTACGCATACTGGCGCTCGATCTCGTCAAGTTTGCGCAACTCCTCGATGAAACTGCGCTGGAAATCGCTCACGTTTTTGTTCAAGTCGCGGAACTGCACCAAGTTGAGCCGGCCCACTTCGTGGATGACGTCTCTGGACGTTTCTGCCGGCACGTAGAGTTGAATGAGAGACATTTCCGCAGAGCCTTGGGCGGTTAGTATAGGACGGGAGATTCTGGCGGCACCACGCGGAATTTCGCGGAGAAAAATGGCGCATGTTGTTTGCGAGGGGAAAGTACATACGGAAAACGGCCTCTTGCTTCTCAGACATGCTTGTGGGGGAAGATTCGGTGGGGCTCAAACTGGCGCTCAGTGCCGGGTGAGGTTTTATGTTGGAGATACGGTCGAGGTAATTGGCACGAGGACGCCGGTGTGCAGGAGCGCGCAGATAGTGAACACGACATGCAGGAGCACAACCGGGATCAGCCGCGGTGTCCTTGCTTGGAGTGAATCCCTTCAATAACAAGGAGAAAATGAGGACAGAAATGGGGACAGAAATGGGGACAGAAATGGGGACAGAAATGGGACAGAGGAAATGGGCACAGACATATTGACTGTCTTTATTGGTTAGGGGTTTGTAGGAATGCGGTCTTCGGAAACTGTCTGTCTTTTTGTTATCTGGACTGGCACATGCACTGTTCCTGCCCTTTTCTGATGAGTACTTGAAATCGCTCTTTCAAGTCCGCTTAATTGAGTGTGCAATGCGTGCATCTCATTTATTGTTAATGATCAAGAAGCCATATAATCTTTTTGGGTTTATTCAATGTAATAAAAGGGGGAGATCGATTTGGGATAGACTATGTGCGCTATATTTTCAGAACCATTCGGTTCTTTTTGCTCGAAAACACACCCGGATATGATCTGGAGGCTCTGAATGTATCTGGAATAAACGGGGTAGCACCTTCAAACCCATAGAAATAAGAATCTTTTTACTTTATTCTGATAATCATATTTTGCCATCCCATATTATGGGCTTATCAGCAACTACGGAAAGCCAGACACCTTCAGTATTCATTTCCCGTAACTTGCTTGCGTTAATATGGTGTAAAAGTGATATGTTTCATTCATCTTCTACAAAAATGTTTAATGTAGCGAACTTGAAGTAAAGAGCAATAAAGAAGAGTTATCGTGATGAGCTATATACTTGAGACAACAACTGAATATACACTCGTAACAGTCAGAGACTTTGCCCAGTCAGCAGCTGAAATTGCAAAACAATTCCGAGGATTGACTTTAAACCACTACCAGTCTAAAAGACTCACAAACTTAAGCTCATTGGGAATTTCAGACGAAGTATAGACAAAGACCACCATTCAAGAGCTATAGATTTATCAGGAGTTGAAACTCCTAGGTCTTTTACGGCGGTAGAGATTTTGTTCTGCATTAAAATTCGGAAGTTCACTTGACTCACTGCAAATTATGCATTGAAGGTGTAATAGACTAGAGCTGATTCTAAATCTTGGTATAGCAAAGAATGAAAAGGGTATAGAACTAGACACAGATCTATGAGAGACCGTGTTCTCTAATTTGACTACACGGGCTTTTTCTGAATCCGAGAAGTCAGACGGAATAAGATATGCAAATGCATTGCTCTCGGCAGTCTCAAGAGATTAAAGATTTGCAATACAAATTGCATGAGACAAAAGCAAACATCTTTCCAATGGTCGGCAAGCTTTTTGTAAGAAGAAAAAAGATTGCAGCACCACAATTTCGCATATGGTCTCCCACTACACTACTCAGTGTGGCCCTATGCAGCTTAACTAACGTTGATCGGACGGGAAACAGTGCTTCCTGCATGGTATGGCCGCAACCGACATGGTAAAATGACAAGAGTATAGAATCTACAGGCGTAAGGGTTTTGCGAAAATGTTTCTGTTATTCCCTTGGATCCCAAAATTCCAATCACGAGATATTGTACATACTCGAATTATCCAATTGCCCGAGGCACTTTCTACTTTGCAGAGCTTGAACTCAATGTTGGCCTCAGCCGACAACTCTTTGGAGAACTTAACAAAATTAAATTGGCTCGTCACCACGATTCTCAAGGCTTACACCAGAAGGCGTGGCGAGTCGCAGGAAGTGGGCTTCTTTAGTTTGCTCCAACCATCCGTGTTCAAGTGACTGAGACCTATCCTAGGAGTCGATGACGTTATATCCAATATGTCAAGAGATGCGAGCCAAGAGCACTGTCCAAGCTGTGATTAACGGAAGAGAATCGGTCCCGTTTTGACACTTGGTACGTATTTAAAATTGCTTAGAGATTTATATGAAAGACTTATAGCTTTGTTCTTTTTATCAGTTGAATGACTACAGTATCGTTTCTAAACAACGCTTTTGAATTCATTTTTTCATCAGATGTCTCACATGAATAAAAGAAACCATAGTGAAAAAAAACCATGCGAACATTTCAAACTCATTTAATCAGCAGATAAGAGGGGTGCTTCCATACAGATACAAATCAGTGCAGAGATCAATTTAGCAAACAAAAATTTAGTCGAAGAATTCAAAAAAAAGCAACACAAAGCTTAATGTACTTGTCCATTTCAAAGTTAGCAAGAGAGAATAAAAACATAGAGGAATTTCAAGTGTTTCACAGATTCATCAGACAACACAGGGCATACGATACTCTGAGAATAGGACGTGTTTGAGGTGCCACTAACGAGGAGAATCGGCCTCTTTCTATAGAAATGCTATTTAAAGCACGAAACTAGGTAGCTGGCTGCACTTTGAATCATGCTTCTCCAGCTGGGCGAAATTCCAATTTCAGCAATTTAACATGACTTTCGCAACATGGGGGGGGGGGGGGGGGGGGGG